TACGAAAGCGTGTTGTTTTTATCACATGAAACTTGTGCCAGAAATAAACCAATTTGGTGTAAATAATATAAGCATGTGTGCAAAAAGATTAGTACGAGGAGCCACCAAAAAGATCGCGTGCACGCGAAAATATTATATTCAAGTGGTAAATGGAGAAGCCTGTATCCAGTCTCGGAGGAAAAGGTATACGCTACATTTTGAGAGCGACGTTGCGTATACGCGACATCGAACTTGAGCAGAGCAGCCTCTACACGACAGCTGTCTTCAGGAGGCAATGATGGTTTTTTTTATTTGAAGTTGAATATCGGAAAGGTTTTCCAAACTTCTTGTATAAATCTAAATATATGTATAAGCTGATCTATAACTTTCCCGAAGTTATAAACCATTTAACAGCAACGAATGGTAAAGTAAAACATAAAGTCTATTACTTTAAAAAAGTAAATTAACTCGTGTGCAATCTCCGTTCCGCATATTCCACTCTCCACATAACAAAAATGAAGCTGTTAGGAAAGTGTGGCCAACTGTTGTTTTTGGATCGCCGTCATATTTTTCTCAATCTATGTGCCAGTATGTTGTAATACAATTTATGGGAATGACAAATGGTAACTGCGCTGTCACAATATGTAAAACTTTACCTCGAGTTTGGCTAAAATACCAAAAAAGTCGAAAAACAAAAGCACTGCAGGCAAAGCAAAGCAATTGGGGATACACTGCAGCAGCAGAGTAAGAACGCTTCGCCTATAGAAGGAAGCACTCCTAAGTCATTGCGGTTACTATGTGAATGGGCTAGCGACTGCGGATATCCGCAAGTAATTTTCACACTTCGGTATGCATGTGTGTGAGTGTGAGCGTAATTGTGGCTGCCGAATCAAAAGTTTCACCGGAAGCGATGGCGTTGGCACTCAGCAAAACCAGAGCAGGCCTCGGCGGCAACCGAAGTGGCTGCGTTGGTCTCAGCAGATAAGTAGCAGCAGTTGTGTGTAGTGGACAACAGACCCCGCCTCCCATTGCGTCCAAAAAGAAGTCAAACTCAGAATAACACATGAAACTGCTTAGACATGCACATGTTTGCGTCTGTGTTTGAGAGTGTGTGCGTTTACACATATTTAAAAGTTAATGTGTTTGCATGAGCATAGCAGAGAAATGTGACAATCATGAGTGTTGGCACTATTTGTGCAAGTGTTTTAGCCCCTTGGCGAAAAGTTTGTGTCAACGATTAAAAGTAAAGTAAAGTTGGCGTAAACGAGCATATGCCAGCCGAAAATGTCAGAAGCGCACACACACAAACGCAATTGCTTAGAAACGCCTGAGAGGTCTGAGCAGTGACAAAATTATGAAAAACTTTGCAACTGTCAACCACTGCAGAGATAACTAAGTAACTCTCCACATGGGGAGAACGTCTGCGAACGAAAAAATGACGCAAAAATTGGAAGAATTAGATACACAAGAAAATACGCGCAGTCAGCAAAATACAGCGGCTTAAGTCACAGACTCGTGAAATGCGAGATGGCGCCACACTCGCACGCATTACATTAACTGTCACTTATTTGTAATTCAGACGCCACGTCCGAAATGCGCAGAGATAAACAATTGAATTAGTGAAGCTCATAAAAGTCAAAACAGATCATATAAATAATACACATTGTTATTTCACTGCAATCACTTGAATTTGAGCAGCTCTTTTCATAATTTTTCAATTTCAAGGACCTCACGAAAACCAATTGAAAGCAAGTGTGTGCCACACGCCGTTTAGAATGGCTTGGCCATCGCCGCCAGTTGGACATTGGCTAAGGTCCGATCAAAGCAATGGCTAGAATTATAAAAAAAATGTTCCAAAAATCATAAGCTCTTTTCGCTAAATTATACAAATACAACAAACTGAAATGTTCGCTGTAGAATGCTTTTAAAGAATTCACTATGTGTCCCGCTGCTAACCTCAGGCCACTCTCCTCATCCTTATGGTCATTCTTATTGTCAAGCTGCCTAATTGCCGAAATTACCACATTCAATTAAAAATAAAAAGCCAAAAACCATCGACATAATTTCCTTAGTTGCTTTTGTACAGTTGTCTTGACGCTGTCGTATTAGCATACAAATCTTGCAAAGACGCTCCCTAATGGCTCTTTTGTGCCACAAATATCGAGTTACCAGCGCACGCAACTGGCAAGTCTCACTTTTAGCACAAAACTGCAAAAACTAAGGGCTACCATGAAAAAAATACGCACACACACACTGAAAATGGGCGCTGAATACATTAAAGAGGTGGTGAAGGATATAAAAATATGTACATTTGTATATATGTACACATAAATAAAGTAATGGGAAATAAATGCAAACAACTGTAGTTTCGAGAAACTTCATTGTAATTATTTCTTATTTTCCCTTGGCCTTCGCTCAAATTTGCCTTTGAGTTCTTTTTGCGAATATTCGCAGTTTTCAAAGATTTGTCTCAAGATAAGCTTTTGCGCCACTTCGCAGTAGACATGGCTTCCGCGCAAAGATAAAATCGGAATAAAAGAGAAATATATAGGCGAAAGGCGAACTTTCTTCGATAGCGTTGTTCTTTCTTCCCTCACAACCTCGTTCTAGACACCCTCCTGCTCCGCCTGCTATTCGCCTCAGACAGCATTTCTGTGTGCAAATGAAGTGAAATGGTTACAAGTGCTGCTGAATTTGTTTTCTGCCTCTGCATTTTGTTGAATTTCGATTTTACAGTAGTCAAAGTTCTTCTTTTTTTTTTTTTGACAATTGGAAACTGCAGCGTTAACTGTTCTACTAACTTTTGATGCTCGAATTGAGATTGCCAAACAAAGTGAAACATTTGCCGAGCAGTAAATGCAAAACGAGAGAATTTTGTAAAAATCTACTAACAACTTGCGCTAATTGACAGAAAATATCAAGCCATGAGATCCACGCAGATAAAAAATAAATATAAAAAGTTAAATGCAAATTTAAGAGCAGAAACACGCTAGGTTACAGTTAAAAATTAAACGTCCATATAAGAGAGAGAGTACAGAAGTTATTATGAAGTCAAAGTGGGTGACCACGGTGACCATTTTCCAATTTCTCACAATTTTTTGTTTGTATTTAATAAAAAAGGCTGTTTTTGGAAATTGATAGCCATTATAAGATATTGATATCTGAAACTTAAAAATGTTTACTTTAGTTATTACATGAAACTGGTTATTAGAGAGCAACATTTACATTCAACCCCTGAACCGTTTTTAGGTTATGACAACCTTCAGAGGGGCGAATAAGGAAAAAGCCACTTAAATAATGAACAAAACTTACGCTAAATGAATGAGAGAAGGCAAGTGCAAAAAAATAAGCAAAAGCGCAATAAAATTATAAAGGAAAATAGAAATGCAAGTTGCACTCTATGAAATGCTAAGTAGTCGCATAAAATGAAACGAAATGTCGAACAAAGCAACTAATATAGCCGAATGAACAAAAGAAAGGTTGGAGCTGCTCCACCCCCCATGCAGAGGGAAGAGAAAGTTTTCTAATATATAAATGGAAAAGTAAAGAGAAAAAACGAAAAAGAAACGAGACGATGAAACGCTGCGGAAGTTCCAATTACATTTGAAAGCGACACATAACTTCCGATGACTTCCAATTGCCGCAGCAGTAGAGTAGAGAACACTCTGTGCCCACACAGTCTCTGCGTGCTGCTTCTTGCTGTCATACCAGCAACAACAATGCATAATTGTGACAGTGGTCTGCAAATGATTCCATTTCTCATTTTTTCATTTAACCGCGACAACGTTGACGAAATGCTTGACATTACGAGCATCGCTGCCGACCGACCCCCACACGCTATCCCGGCACCATCGCAAGGCAAGGGCGGGTTGTCGTGTCGCATGCGAACGACAATGATGAAGTGGCGAAATGATAAAATGAATGGAACCACGGAAAGCAACTGGCAAAGAATAGAATTTACGCAACCTTCAGCAATGACAGAGTATGATATAAAATCACTTTTTTCAAGTCTCTGTAAAGTTAGTGTCACACTGAAACAAATTTCCAAATGGCATGCCTTGCAGAAACTGAAAAAGTTATAAAAATTAGCATAGTATAATAGTGTGGTGTGGAAGGTGCAACCGCAGAGCTCGCACCTCGTTACTCCAATTTGTGTTTGGTCAGATTGGAGTGTCTGCGAACTGCTCAAGCTCCACTGGAAATATGCTGACGCAATGGAATATAAAATTATATTACAAGTATATACAAGTATCAATATAAAGAAGTGTTCATTATTTATTGTGAAAGCTAGAACTATCGGCTAATGTTGGGTGGACAAACGAATTTTTAACGTGCTACGTCTATTCGACATATGCACCTTGATTGCCGTAAGTGATTGTGGACCATATTGAATTAGTATGCATTCTCGTTTATCTTCTTTCTGCTTCTTGCTTTTATGTTTTAACTTACCAGTCTACCCCTTCTCTACACGCGATTATATGAATAATGCTGAAAGCCTTTTATTTAATGGCCTTTATGTATACCTTGAAATAATAATGGCACACAAATAGCTCTTTTATTCATATCCCGATGAATGTTGTGACCCAGTTGCAAAGTGCGTCGCAGTTAAGTGAAATAGTCCCCTTGTTGTGTTCTTTTTTCTGGTGCAAAGTCAAACTGCACTCGCATTATTATAATGAAGCGCAATTCATATTGCTTGTGAACTAACAACTCGCATTGCTTCGAGGTATTATTTAATTAGATTGATACTAAATTAGAAAAGGAAGTCAACGAAATCCGTTTCGCCTTCATTTGCGGTTAATTATTGCAAGCTCAGTTGCTAGGCCTGGGCATCTCTTCAATATAATCAGTACGTACGTATATAGGTACATATATACTTTATGTGTGAAGAGCAATCCGACTCAGAGCCTAATGATTTGTTAATTTATGACTCGAAAGTGTTAAGTGATTTCATATTTACTTATTTAGAATGAGTATGATGAATCAATATAAATATTCAAATGCATTTGTAGCAATTACAATTCCAGTTGTACAAATCTTTCTTTATTTCAAACAAATAAGCATCTAGTTAACATTACATTAACATTAACTACAATTAAGTTAATGTTTTTGTCACGAAAATAAATTTAAGTAAAACTAGTTTTATAGTCGCTTAAAACCGAATTTCGCCGTTATTTATTTTATCGAATATATCACTTGTTACTATCTCATATCTGCCGGAAGGCGTTTTGTAGTAAAGCTCATCCTGTATCACATTGGGATTATAGCCTTCTTTTTGCAGGTCCACTTTTCGCAATTTATATGTACCGGTGAGGTCAATGTTGGTTAGGAATCTTAAAAATTGCGGTCTGGCATAGGCTGGGAGTACCTCCGATATATTCTGTGCGAAGCATTCGAGATCCACTTCTCGCTGTGGGTCATAAATAGCCGCCATACCAGCTCGCCCTTCCGTATGCGGTATCATCACGCCATATACTATTGTGTCCTTGTAGTTGGTCATATTACTTACTTGAGCTTCTACCTCGCTTGTGGATACATTCTCTCCCTTCCAACGAAATGTATCACCCGTGCGGTCCACAAAGAAGAGGTAGCCGCGATCGTCAGACGTCAAAAGATCGCCTGATAGGAATGCCATGTCGCCTTTCTTAAACACGTCATGAGCAATTTTCTTCGTAGACGCGCTTTCATCAGCATAGCCCAGAAACTCTCTGGACGGATTGCCTTTGATTATTTTGCCAATGAATACGCCTGATTCACCTGGGCCACAGCGTTGACATAAACCATCGGCGCCACGTATGGGCTCACCTGTATCGGGGTCCGCTTTTATTATAGATATTGGATAGATTTGTGGCAAAATCCGCGAAACAAATCCAATTGCTCCAACAGTGTTGTCGTTGTTCATAATATTGGCGTTTCCCTCTGTAGCGCCATAGAATTCACCAACTTTTGGTATGTTAAAACGTTCAACAAAACGCTGCCAGATTTGCGGACGTAGCCCATTACCAAAAACCATACGAATTTTATGCGAACGATCGTATTCCGATGGGGGCGTGGCTAAGATGTAACGAGCCATTTCGCCGATATATTGAGCTATCTGGAGGCATATAAATTAGCTTATAGAAAATGGTATCTACTTTATTTGATTTTACTTACGGTGCAATTGTAGCGCACACAGTCACTGAAGTATCCCGACGCTGAGAACTTTTTCCGAATAGCGACTGTCGAACCAAAAAGTAGCGCTTGACCCATGCTCATAACTCCACCGGCTGTGTGATATAGCGGCAGAGGGGTGTAGTACACATCTTTGCTTCTAAAGTTCAAGGTGTAGTGAATGCCGGCCGTTATAAATAGATACCTGCAAATATTGTTTGAGATGAGAAATATTCATAAACTCATAGATGTTAGTTCAACATACCGAGAATGGGAAATAACCGCAGCCTTGGGTAAACCAGTGGTGCCGGATGTGTAAATATACATTAGCTTGTCGTGGTGATTTGGGTGTTGAATGGTGCTCGGCTGTGATGTGACATGTGTGGATGAGTTCATTAAGTTGGCCAAATCTTCTGCTGAGTTTCGGACGGCCTTATTAATTCCATTATTAAATTGATACAATTTTGCTGAAATTTCGGTTGCTACGCTTTCCACAGTCTCCTCAAAGTCTTCGCCATAAATAAGAGCTAAGCATTTAGCCACGGTGATACTGTGTACTAGTGACCGCTCTTTAAGATTGGTGTTAATAAGTGCTGTTATAATGCCAAGCTTTGAAAGGCCCAACCATATGCCGACGAACTCGACGCGATTCTCCAGCATCAGTGCAATTACATCGCCCTTTTTGTAACCGTGACTGTGGAATATGTCTGCAATGCGATTGGCAAATTGATCTAGTTGCCGAAATGTCCAAGACTGCGTCTCACTTATTATCGCAGTTTTATCTGGATGCTTTGCCACGTTCATTTGAAATATATCACTTATAGAAACGTTTCTTCGCTCATATCTTTTTATAAGTATGAGAAGTTTTATGTAGGCCCACACCGCTCTAATGAGGCGCGAAAGCAAGAGGATAATATTCATTAGAAATTTAAGTATAGAGAATTCTAATTACTCACGTTATATCTCGTTTAGAAGTTACGCTCGCTATATAAAACCAACGCCAGCCCAATGATATTAGCAACATAACAATTATCGCGACAAATAACGCTGGTAGGCCACTTTTCCATCCAAAGGAATACCACAGCAGAGCGACGACTACGGCTGCGATACTTGCTGTGAGGACCACGAAAAGAAGTTTAGACTTAGATATGGTTTCGCCAGCTGCGACCTGCTGACTTGTAGAACCCGGACCTGTGCCATTTTGGGTCCCATTCACACTACTCTGCTTGGGATCTTTGTTGCTGTGTTTTTGTTGGTCTTCATCCATGTCAATGGTAGTATGTGTAGTCCCTGACTCTTTTCCACTGCTTTCTGTGTTGCGTTGTACATTTTCTTTGAGCGGTAACTTAACCTTCACACTTGACTGCTGATAAGAGGTAAGATAAGAAATCGTTACATATTGTCGTTGCTCTATATATTATTCGAAAAATATAAAATACGGCAAATATTACTCTCTTAACATATGGAATCGTTATGCAAATTACTTCTAATTTATCTTAATTAACGGTTTCAACACTGTTGACTCTGACGCAGCAGAGAATTTCTCCAGCAAACCTGAACTGTGACATATTTACGGCAAGGGTGCACATATATGCGCGTAAAAATATTTATTTAGTCTGCCCTTTCACGCTTAAGTCGTCATTCTAAAATGAATTATTTTGAATTTTAAGTAGTTAGTACTTTTCCTACAGTGCAAACAAACAAGACCTCAGGTCGGCTAATTATTTTACAAAATACGTATTACTGAGCAAAGAGAATAGTTTGCCTCTCCGAACAGATTAAATGGTTGTAGCCCTCTGCGGTAGTGATCTTGTATGCATTTAATTACGGTTCAACCAGTTTCTTTGTTAATTGAAAACAACTCCAATTCAATATGATATTGATCCCATAGCGCCGCTTTACTCGATTTAGTCACTCAACTGGTTACTAAAACATAGCAAAAGACGCAAAACAAAACTAAAGAAAACAACAAACACCTCCAGTACACTCGCAGCTCCAAAGTGCCATAACTCAAAAGCGAAAATATTGCAGAGGTGCTCACATACATACACACATGTTTAGCGAGTACTGCTGATGCACATATGAAAGACATAACTCAGCATAAGTGGTTTCGCTAACATTTTGTTTATTTCACTTCGATGTTTTTTTGCAAGTGGAGATTTCAAATATATGTAAATGATTTCGAGTTGTGGTGGACACTAGTATGTATGGCTGGCTGGCGATTAATTCTTTGCTATGTCTTTTATGCGAGCCATTCGATATATACGGGTCTTTGGAGTTGTTAAAGTGCTTGATGGTACACCTTGCATGGTAGATTGCACATACTTTGTTTAATTAAGCCAAGCTTAAGCACACACAGATATATTTTCGGACAGACATAGTCGAAATTGCTTTAAGTGCCCTGAGTTGAAGTGTGTCAGCAAAATTGGCCACAATCTCGACAAACATGTCTGTGCATGTATGCATGCCACATTCTTTGGTTTTGTAACCGCTTTCCCCCTCGCTTTTAAGCAAATCTGCTTTAATTGCTACAGTTCCATTTAACTCAGCCTTACAGGTTCTTTGATCTTATTATTCTGCTCATCAACAGCGTTAACCTCGCTTGACCCCTCCATGGAAGCGCTCATGACGCCGGTTGATAGGCACTGTTATCACGTTGCTCCGCGCACAAAACTTCGTCACTTTTCTAATATTGATTCACTTATTAACACGTTTTTGCGATTTTCAGTTAATTGTTTGCGTGTACTTATTAAATAACAAGCGTTTTCGAATGGAAGCGCATCTTTTGAATTCAAATAAAAATTCAATTTCATATATGTAGCCACAGGTGGAATGGTCGCTACACTGGCGCTGTCTTTACTCTAGCAATGTTGCGCGGATGCTGTACTTAGTCGCGGCTATGCGCATTTGTGTTGACGATCCGCTTTGCACGATTTCACTTTTAGCTCTGTCACAGATCGCGCGCCGATTGCGGTCGAGCAAAGTGTAATCTTACACAATATTCACTTCTGTCCACAGCCGCGTTCGCCGATGCATTGACTCCAGCCGATCAACGGCTGAGCCACTGCTGCGATTCGCAGTTTCAAAACCAAACTCACACATACACGCACAACTGCTCCAGTGCCTACTAAACTGCTGCACACAATTTAGAAAAACTCGTTGCTTTAGACTCACTTGGGTGGCGAGCCGACGATTCCGCAACATAAAATCATAAGTGCACTTACAAGTACTCCATGCACATCTACTGTATACACTTGTTAGCGAGCTCCACTATATCGTACGATAAGGTGATCGCTATCGCCTTTATCTCAAAACCAGTTTTTTCCATTAAGAAAGCGGTGTATTGCATCTTTAAATGCTAATGCTAAAAATTTCAAAGAGCTTTTACGTTATAGGTCTTTATCTCACCCAATAAATAGAGGATGCTCGACCACAAGTTCAACTTGTGTCATTGTGTCATGTTACTCTCTCAGAGCCGATGGCTAACACAAGAAGTTCTTTTATAACTCTAGGCTTTGCTATACTCGCAATTTAAACTCATGTCTTTGTGTAGACACATCTTAAGCTACAACGGCGGTTAATAGCTCCTCCAGTCTGAAAGGCAAACTACACTTAATTAAAAAGTTGTCATGCCAACTTGATAAGCTTATAAACTAGGCACACTGATAATATTTTTACGAAAGCTCTTGCTCTGGCAGAGAAATATGCCAAAAATAAATAAAAGGTAAAGAAAATATATTATATTCGATTACCACAATTCAGTTATATAAGGTTGTGTTACTTGGGACTTCTTTCTTTCTAAAAACAAAGCAAAACAACAGATTTTGACAAATTGTTGTTTTTGGGCTATAGTCACAACTTTGTGTAACTAAATCATTTTCAATTACAGAAAATTGTTTCACAAGCCAAGAGCTAAGAAGTAGAAACAAATACTTTGCATGAAAAAGTTGCCACCCTAATGTAGATATAAACATTCATGCGACTCCTCAAAAATGTGAAGTCGGTAAATTTTAACTAGCGGTAATTTGGTAAACGTTAACGATCAGAAGTTGAACAAAAATTTAATTGAAAGTTGTTTTTACAACACCAATAACGTCGCGCATATAATTTTTTATGTAGAAATCTACAAAGCAAAAACGACCACCAAAGCAGTCAAACTTTACACTTTTTTGCACACTTCTGTAGACGGTGATCGCCAATGAGCTAATTATCATTACCTGCTTCTCTTTCCACGTTCGTAAGTGTAGCCCATAGAGAAAACCAAAACAATCACACACGAGAAGCACCGGCAAGCTTCAAACACACAAACTATCACATATTTCTCCAACATACATACAAACATGAACATGGAGTTAGCGCCAAGCTAGTGGGCTTTCGATTGAATGCGGACCATAACTGGTTTACGTTCGCTCTTCATTCTGCAGCGGATCTATCGAAAAATATGCAATACTCGTAAGCAAAAAAAACTGCAACCACTGCACCCATTAAGTAATTTTGAAATATGGGACATGTTACATGACAACCGATAAAAAACCCACCATCCACTTAAAATTTCTTACTGGTGCAAATACTTATTAAGGTATTATAATATATGCAACCTTGAGCGGATTTTGCCATTATGTTAGAACTATAGTACCTTACCCTTATACATTTTTAAACTATTTTACAATGTTTTAATTCTTATTCTTAACATTTACTATTCTTCATTTCATATCACGTTGGAACTCTGATGAATTCGCTTCATTTCGGTTCACCGGCATCGGTGCCAACCTAAAGATAAATCCACAGATCTTTCATATAGTACTTCTCTCTCACTATATGTTTCCTCTCCCTCTCCCAAAAAACTTCTCTAATAATTTTTTGCTTTAAAACAAATAATTTGGGAAAGAGTATGGTATAACATATGTACCAACCTCCACATGTAGTACCTAACAACACACGACGTAATCAAGCGTGGAGCCTGGACCATAATTATAATTCTGAATGTCTTATGTGCATGCAAGTGTAACTTCTTAGCAATTTGCAATATAATTAGCATTTAAACGACTCGCATTTGAATTCAGTTGATCGTGAGATGAAGCAGACGTGCACTTACTGAACAATCAAGCATTAGCTGATGGAAGTACCTATAAAAATTATCGTTGTAAGGGATCAGTAAGTTCATTTTCGGATATACAAATTTCTACCCATATTCACAAAAAAAGTTAATGTCTGTTCATAACAAAACAAAAAGAAAATAGATCTAAATATACATACATACAAAATACTTATTTGTATGAATTTAAAATTCCACAAACAAATTACTGTTTGACTCTTGCAACCACAACTACGAAGTAGAAAAAATAGCTGCTTCGGCTGAGGCGCAAAAAACTTAAAACTATATAATTGAAATGAGGGCAAATAAAAGTAAGGGGAATAATTCCAATAAAAAAAAATCAGTTTTCTGTGATCCTTTCAGTTCACTTTTAAGCTATTTTCCAGTTTTCCACGGAGTGCGAAACACACGCTCATGTACTGAACTCACCTAAAACAAAAACAAAACAAAAACATCTTTGCTACATATGCATACATACACAATACATTATTTTTGTTGTAAGATAAGTAAAAATGAAACCCAGCCAATCATGCAACATAACCGTAAGCAAATTACCTTATTACGATAAACAAAAAATAATAATAAGACTCGGTGCCCATAATACTCGTACATGAATGTCTTCATTTATACATGAGCATGTGAAACATACATATACACAGAGCACCGTCGATGGCTAGCAGCTGAAAATCGCAGATTTTCATTGTGCATTACCCACACACCATAACATGGCATGGCATAGCGAAGCGAAGGTGAGTTGAGCATGATTTTGGCCTAACTCCGATGTACAGACGGGCACATTCGAAATGAGCGCACAAATACGAAAGAGGATTAATAAGACGTTGAAGGCAACAGCGAGACAAAACATAAGCGGAACAAAAAACATCGTAAATTGGGTGCAGGATTATGAGATTCTTGCGGAGCCGTTAGCGGCAGTTGGCCTCAGCACGAAGCTTTCGAATGGGGTGTACTCGTATGAGAAATCTCGGCTGGTACGCGTATGTGTTGCTGAATGCGTCCCCTACAGTACTCCAGGGAGTGTTTGCCTCACCGGCAAGTGAATTATAAATTAGAATAAACACAGCACCGTAGATGTCATTGAAGGCGGTTTGGCGCAATAAATTTCTAGGAACTGTCGTGGAATGCTTGCGCAGCTGAGCGTTTCATTTCCACGGGCTAATTTCATTTCTACCTTAGCAGGGTAATTACGCCACCAAAGGAGAAAATTGAATACCAATTTTCTAACGATTGACTGACATTGAAAGCAACGGCATTCAGTGTTTCCTTCTAGAAATCAAGTGCGTTGTTGGAGTCGCTTTACTCTAAAAGTTGGAAAATAACCACTTCGAGTAAATTGCTTAGAAATCTCTACGATTTTATTGATTTTTTGTGTTTTGTTTTGATTTTAGTGCGGTTCTTATATTCAATCGACCTCCTCAGAGTTGGTCCGATTTTTGTATATCCAAAATTTGACATACGTCATTGTATATGACGTATACAGCGAATAGAAGATGTAAGAGAGGATGATACCTATTTTCCACTTAAGTTAAAGCTTTATTATCGCTTTGAAGTGTAATTTTGGATAAAAAAAGTGGATACTTTCGCTCAAAAAAGGTTTTAAAATTTTATTTGATATTCTGCTTGAAATTAAATATAGTTATTGCCGGGGAGTTTTGTGATAGATAACAAATGTGTACAATACGCCAGCACACAGTTGTAGTTACTTTATGGCTCTTGGAATTCAGGCTCGAAAACCTTTCTATTATTTCATTAAATTTACGATAATTCTTTGAGTCATTTAATTTGAAGAAAATTGCTTCAGCAGTCCCATTCTGCATATAAACACAGCTCGTAATAATAAAATTTAATCAATAATTATTCTCCATTAAAGTTATTTGCATAAAGACTGACGAGTGCATCCCTGCGGTTACATAAACACAAAGTGCTAGCTTGTAAGTGAAGCATGTGTAAGCATGCATTTGGCAGCAGTTATGTGCAATAAAGTACAACTGCATGTGTGTATGTGTATGCATGTGGGTGTGATTACTGTAATTTGATGGTGCGTATGAGTAATATTTCAGACGTTGTAAATGTTGTTCGACGTCATGTGAATGTTCATGTGTGAGTGTGAGACCATGTGTCCATGTGTGTGAGGGTAGGTACATTTGTTTACACCCTTACGAATATGTGCCGCGAAGCACAGCAGAGTGTTGCAGTTGTTATAGCAACAATGACTACAGTGTCCTCCTCCGCGCCCTCCAAACACCCGCGTGGCCATCATTGATCTCACCCACGCGAATTCATTGGCATTATTGTTGGTGAATTTTTAAGAGGTGTCTCTGCTAGACTCTTTTTGCCTACACACACCGACGGCGAGACGGCGCTTTGTTGCTCGGTAATTGCTGCAGCTATTGCTCTACTTGCATAATAGGGCATATGTTTGTGTGTGTGTGTGAATTCGCGGGTCTTTGCAACGGGTTAATTACCACATCGATCCTGTTAACAATGTTTATGCAAATGGGTACGGTCACAGGTGAGGTGGGTGTGCTCTCAATTAGACATGTGCAACATCAATTGCAACAACTAAACAGGATTAGAAGAGAACTTTCAGCACTCCTGACTTGCTATTCTCTTTTATTTTAAAATTCATACTTTTCAACTCAATGTTATTCTATCAAATCAGAACTTGTCTATCAAATATACAAAACTACATATATGTATTGTCTTTTGTTGTTTTAGAGCTTTGAGGCTGACGCTTTAATTTATTTAGCATCGCAATAACTGGCACAAAAATCATACAACAGTGGACTTAGCATTCAGCAACCGAGATATTAACTTCATTCGGCAGCCAAAAATCATAACTGTCAAAATTCAGATACGAAAGTGTGTCGTCGCTGCGGCGCCAATGAACATTTCAAACATTTTGCGGTAAATGCCAGGAAATTGGGGGGACGAGGGACATCTGACAGTTTTAACGAAGGAACTCTTACAAACATCGAAAAGAAATAAAAGGTTTATGCAACAGATAGAGCACAGCTATTGCAGTTGCAGACTCCAAATGTACAGAATATTGCATTGGCGCAAAAGCTTCCAGTTCGATAGCCAAAACTGCACTGAAGACTTTGAAGAGTGCTGCTGATAGGAGTATCGCATAACAACAACTCAGAAAATTGCTAGGCCAGTGTGAAAAAGCCATTGTAATAACCTAATAATAACAACAACAACAAATCCCTTTGAATACTTATGAAGCAACGAACAAGCTGCCAAAAACCAACACCGCTACGTACACACCCCTGCAACACACCTCCAAACAATACCACACAGCTGATTTGCGACTTGTATTAGTGACCGTCGGCAGCACCTATGGGCAAGTGTGTGTCAAAGCATCCATCCGTACTCACAATAGCGCTGTCGGAAAAGGACTTGGCGGCGGCAAACCACATTTGGAGCAAATTTGCTGAGAGCACCGAATACATTGCGCTGAAGGACGAGCATGGAAATCAATTATGCGAATATTACTACGTGAGCGGCAAGAAGCGGAAGGCGAAGCCTAAAACAACAAAGCAGACGCTAGTGCCAACAGATAGGGATAATGATGCGAAGACAACAACTGTCGGCGCCACACAGCCAGTCGGGCAGACCAAACATTCAAATGAAAATCAAAACCAGAGTCAGCAGCAGCAGAGCCAGAAGAAGGGTAAAAACAAAAGACGATCCAAGACAGCACAAAAGCAATCATCAACGCAGCAAAGCAGTGAAAACAAATCACAGCAATGGACAACAAACCGCGAACAAACAACAAATACAAATGGCACAGAAAGTTATACGGAAAAGTTACAACAAGATTGTGTTACTTCACAAACCGAATCTGCTCATACTCCTGATGGTCTGACAACAACGGCGGCGACGGCGACGACTTCGACAATTGTGTACCCCAGTGTGAGTGGCTGTGAGTATTGCACCGTTGTCAGCACCACTGACGACGAGAGTGAGGGCGAGCACGAGGACGAGGACGAGCACGATGACAGTGATGACGGCGAGCAGTTGTTTGGTATTCATAACCATAATAATGCTACTGAGGCTATTGTAGTTGACAACACCAATAAAGAAACCGCCGCTGATGCTCATAAAAATCAACAACATTGTGTGGCTCATTTGCCGTCGCAGCCACAGGAACAGATTGCTGGCGACACGGATGCCCCCGACGCCAACAATAACGCCGAAATAGCTGGGAAACATGAGGAATACGCTTATCAACCGAAGTGGCAGCAAAAGCGGTTGGCTGCCACCGAAAAAGGGCAATTAATAAACAGGGAAGTGTGCAAAGTCAATATTGGTGTTATTGGTGTCGAAAATGCAGCTGAACTTGACAGTGTTGACAGAAACAGTGAAATGTTAAGCGCCAGCGAGCATCTAACGGTTACAGGCAGCGACTACATGAAGGTGAGTGACTATAAAATCGCAATTTATTGACAAAGTAATTGTATTCATTACCAGAGCTTTTATAGTAAGGGCCACTCTGTTGGCAACTGTAAACTTCCATACAGCAGAGATATCTCTCTCGACCACTGGTTTTCGAAAGTCTAAACAGATATATATTTTTTAATTTATTCAAAATATTTGGCAATTTTTAAATATTTGGACCGAAAAGATCTAAGAACAAAATCCTTTTGCAAAAATTTTCATAAATTACTTACAGAAGCGTGAGATTGGGTAATGTGCTCCTAAAATCTCTCACCCTCCTCCAGGCTTTCTCCGGAATTACTACTAATAAAGCTCAACAATTGCACTTCTCATTCATAAAGGTTGTTCCTTACAAGAACAATTTTATGCCGGTATAATAAAGAACATTCTTTCTTTCCCTAAGTGAAGCATATAATTGCAGGGGCTTATGACTTGTAAACGTTTCCGAGAAATTGAAAAATTTTTATAAGAAACTTTTTCAGAGCAAAATTTACTCGAAGGTTGACAAAAATTCTATGTAATTGTGTGACTTAGTCGGAAAATGGGTTCCAGAAATGGTCCTAAGCAACGGTGTTTATAAATAGGTCCTTTAGTGAAAAAATTTTATCAAGGATTCATATATTTTGATGCACCCTAAATATGTATTGAGGGTTAATCGCGACCAAAAATTTAATATACATCTCCATGGAACAAAACTATTCAATTTTCGGCTGATCAACTTTGGTTAAATTATTGAGAATATTTGAAGGTGTCATTGCTAAGGCATTTTGACCTCAGAGAATACGCACAAATCTGCAATATCTGACATCAATAAATTCGACCGATATCGTTGGGAAGCCAAAGCATTATCATACAACAATATTTGCTTTCATTTACAAACTGTTTTTAAATTACAAAATCTATTTGACTTTTTGTGGGTTTTCAACGAATTGGTTTGCCTTTTTGTCCCAAGTGATGACGTACAAAGTCAACGCAGTTTTGCGAGTTATTTTGCATTATTTAATATATTCTAACTTTTTCTCCAAATTTATATACAATAATATTTTCTTAGGGCTTTATATCTGTTATGATGATTTCGCAAAGTGTATGACATCTAATAAACAATATTTACTCTGTTTTTCAACTACATGGTTCTAGAGATGCGCTTATTCCACTCTGTTGAGATGATTATACTCTTGCAACATTTTGCTACAGAGTATAATATTTTTGTTCATCTGACGGCTGTTTCTATCAGCTAATACTAATCGAGTTAGATGTACAATTATATATTATATATATATATATATAAAGGATCAGGATGATGAGACTTTGTGAAATCCGATTGTTTTTTGGAACCATAAGAAGTTCATTTTTGTAAATGGGCGTAACCCCACCACTTCCATGCCCACACAACGCCAATAATCGTCATAACTGCAATCCATTCTCGATTTTGATTTTGCTGCAATCTCTGAAGAAATTATTCAGATCGGACCACTATAGCATTTAGCTGCCATACAAACTAACAACTATATGATACAGAGTCCGATTTGACAAATTTACAAAGGTGTCATTGACTCCATAAAATGTAAACAAAAGGGTAATTGGACCCAATTGTTAACAAAGGTTGTTGACTTAGCTAAATCTTAAATAGGTTGTGGACTTGGCTAAATGTAAACAAAGGGTTCATTGACCTCATAAAATGTAAACAAAGGGGTCATTGACCTTGGCAAAATCTAAGCAATAGGGTCATTGACCCCATAAAATGTAAACAAAAGGGTCACTGACCCTAAATGTAAACAAAGGTTGCTGACTTCGCTAAATGGTTGTGGACTTCGCTAAATCGAAAATAGGTTGTGGACTTGGCTAAATGTAAACAAAAGGTTCATTGACCCCATAAAATGTAAACAAAAGGGTCACTGACCCTAAATGTAAACAA